CTCATATCATGGGTAAGAAGGGATTCCTCATTTTGCCAATGGGGAAACCAGAGCTCATCAGTGTGAAGTGTCTTGCTCAAGACTGAGCAGGAAGGGACACAACGCGGGTTTGCATTCACAGCTGTCGATTTGTAGATCAACGGATGTTGATTTTGCATGTACCGGGAATCATAGGTGGAAGTTGAGGGGTAATTCGGAGGCCCTAGAACATTGAGTCCCTAGAGCCTGTGCAGCGGCTTTCATAAGCATCTCCGATTAATTGAGAAACTTTCTTCTTGCAGACAATGTGCCTTAGCTGCCTTGAGAGATGTCAAATCGTACCTGTCAGAGGAGGGTGGCCAGATCGCGGTAAGTTCAGAGAGGTATTGCAGTGGACTGAAGAGTGCCATCTCCCCTGCTTCAAAATCTTCCCCAGAAAGTGCAGACAGAGACCAGCTCTTGCTGAAACTCTCCTGCGGCAACCTGTTTGCTGTGGGCCGGTCCCTCAAGACAGAGGTGTCTCCATGATTATAGCAAGACTCCAGATTGCAGCTTCTTATGGTCATCATAGTCCCTGGTGCCTCTCAGTTATCCCCATGAATACCACATCTTCTTTAAACGGGGAGAAACTTGAGGCACAGAAAAAGTGACTTCCCTAAGTCCACATGGAAAGCTTGGGATAAAATGCAGGTGTCCAGATTCATAACCAGCAGTGTCCCCACTCCACCATTTTGAATGCTTTATTCCTGACTGAATTAGTCCAAACCCATAGCGTCTCTCCACCCTTCTTCTCCCTTCTAGACATTTACTTGCATATTCCTGATTTTTAAAACACAAAGGAGTTGGGTGGAAACACTGCGTTGGCCAAAGAATGAGTTTTCCCTTCGAGCCAAAGTTACTTGAGTTTTTTTGAGTCTTAACGCCTGCTGATATTGTGTCAGGGTAGGGCTGCGCTCCCTAAGAGGTATGTTAACATCTTCAGAAGGTAACTTCTCTCTGGACGCTTTTTTTAAAGGTTTTTGATGCAACCAATACAACACAGGAGAGAAGAGGAATGATTTTAAACTTTGCCAAAGAGAATAGATTCAAGGTCAGTATGTGTCAGACTCGTTTTTTGCATGAATGCATGGTCCCATTATCATATTAGCTGAGTACTGCCATACTACCGTACTCACTTCTTTATTCTAAGAACACCCACGGGAGGTAGACAGGTGGCATTAGCCCCATTTTACAGGTAGGGAACCAAGGTGAAGTGACTTGTCCAAGATTGGGGAACTCTGTGGTGGAAAAAGGAATTATTCCCAGCTCTTCTGAGTCTTAGGGTAGTTATAAAATTCCCACACTGCCAAGACCCCTAGCCAAGAGGGGTAGAGATGAGGTAGCGAGGAGGGAAACACACATAGTTCTGAAACCTTCTTCATGCAGACTTGCATGGGCTGTTGGGAACAGGGCTGGGTGTGATACACTTCACATGTTTCATCTGTCCTCAACTGGCTTTTGTTTTGCCTTCTAGGTGTTCTTCATCGAATCCGTTTGCAACGACCCCACAGTGGTTGCCACGAATGTCATGGTAAGAATAGAAAGCTGCTGCTTTCTTGTTAAAACCAGAATTCGCACAGGTTCACCCCTGCCCCAGACAGCACTCAGCTTATTCATTCAGCAGTGCCATGCCAGGTTATACCAGCTGACGATTTACAATCTGTCTGGGGCAGATATTTTCACGTAGTTCTGACTGAAGCAGCAACATAGAGATATCAGCATAGAGCAGATGTGCTCAGTCTCTTCAGAGCTCTGCATATCCTTATACTTTTAATGCAGTAAATGTAATAACGGGTAACAAGTGCATATATGTCATGCATGCATATTTGACAATAAGAGCCTAAAAATCTCACTGGCATACCCTGACACTTAAGTCCCCAGGCAACCAAGGTGCCTTTGAAAACATCACTCATGTGCATCTGTTTTAAAAGCAGCCCCACAAGGCTTATTTCCTCATCACTATGCAACTTTCTTGACAAAAAGGTGTACTTTGTCTTATAGCTCCTCGGTCATATGAGGAGACCTGTTGGCTGTTAGTCGTCAGAGCTAATAGGTACTTCTTGATTTACCTGTACATTTCACTGTAATGCACTTTCCTCCATCTGATGCTGTTCCAGCCTTATCAAAACTTTCCCAATCATTTAGTGTCTGGATTGGCATTGGCTTGGCAGGGTGCCTTAAGTTCAACAAATGTTGGTTCCTTGGGCAGGTTTTCTAGCAGTGCTGGGGTTTCCGATATAGCTGCGTCCTGTGTTAGTGTCTTGCGCCTTTTACCCCTTTGTATAGAACTTCCTTACTAGTGCCGTTTAAACTAGTTAATGATTAAGGGTCTGGGAGGCATGACTTGTGAGGAAAGGCCGAAAGAACTAGGGTTATTTGGTCTGGAGAAGAGAAGACGGAGGTGAAGATTTGGTAACAGTCTTCAAATACTTGAAAGGTGATCGCAGAGAAGATGGAGATGGGCTTTTCTCTGGGGCTACAGGGGACAGGACTTAGGAGCAATGTGCAGGGGTTGGAAATTAGGAGGTACTTAGGCTACCTAGAGAAACCGTGGACTCTCCACCTTGGAAGTTTTCAAGAGCAGGTTGGATAGGTACTTTGTCCCCGATGAAGGCATTCAAGCCATCTTGCCTTGAGCCTGGGACTGGACTAAATGACCTGATGAGGTTCCTTCCTATCCTACTTTCCTATAATGTTATGAAACGCATGGCTTTGAGTTGCATGTGAGGCTGTACTTGGATGGTATGCTACCTTTCTACAAATGCAGCTCCCAGTGATTTCATGGGGGAAGGTAGTGTTTGGATCCCAGAGCCAGACCTTGAAAAAAATAGCTATAAGAAAACCCCTAGTTAGATAATCTCCAAGTTGGATAATACCTTAATGGAGCCAAAACTAAATCTGGATACATACAACTTTCCTTTGTGCAGGATGTTGAACAGATGGTTTCTAGATGCTACACAAGGAGACAAAGCAGAGCCATAACAAAAGGCCCCAATCCTGCATACGCACTTAACTCACATGAGTTATCCCATTGCCTTTGATGTCACTTGTAAAGTTATTAGTGTGTGGAAATGTCTTTAGGGAGCAGGACTTTGACATGATTGCTGCGAGCCATTTACATTGATCTTCTCCTCCCCCTCTTCCCTCCCTGGCATTATCTTTTATAACTGCCAAATGCCAACTGTGAATGACCCAGCCAGTGACTCTAGGAATAACTTTGATACCCAATATTGAAACAATCTGATTATTCTAAATCTGTAGCCTGGTTTGGAGACTGTCTGCACTGAAAGCTTTCTAAAGACTTATTGATTTGCTTTCTCTGTTGCTGCAGGAAGTTAAATTGTCCAGCCCAGATTACAGGGACTGTAACTCAACTGATGCCATGGAGGACTTTATGAAGAGAATCAATTGTTACCAGTCCAGCTACCAGCCACTTGACCCAGATGACTATGACCGGTAAGAAGCTTTGCTGACTTCTAAATAGGCTGCTTTTAAAGGCCTTTTGTCCTCAGAGAAAAGAGTAATAAAGAGCTCAGTTGGAAGAGATGAATGTGCTAGAATAAAATTTGTGTAAGTCTCCATTCCTCACTGTAAATTCAGCCTCAGTTCTGAGGACTGAGAAGGTCTGACTTTTCACTGCCTTTTGCGAAGCATCGTGCTGGTTTCTTGAGATTTTTCTGCCTATGTTTGCAGACTGCAGAGCTTCAGCACCACAGCTGAGCTTTTGGGTGCTTCTCTGAACCTTATGACACTATTGTATTGAAGGTGTCTATGGATGGGATAGGGACAGGGTCCTAAAACTGGGTCGCCAACTCCCCAGCTAGTACATCCTCTCACCAGAGCCTTGCCACCCTAAGTGACTCCAGATACGGTCCGTCCTTGCCTGCAGGATTGCAGTATTTACCTTCTGTACTTGATCACAAGTCAGTCCTGGGTCCTGTGACATCCAGTCTGGGGACTGGGCAGCCTGCCCTCTGACCCTTCAGAAGTACTGTGGTCACTAGCCATGTGCTCTGGGCCTCAGCTGTCTCCAGCTTTGGGAAACTTGTGAAGGAATGCTGCCTCATTCCCGATCTCGTAGCACTAGAAAAGAGATTAAATTGATCCATGATTTAGGTAGAGAGCACAATCCACTACAAGGCATGTGGAGATTAAAATCACCACTCCACTGACACTACCTAGGTAAAGGGGGAAGTCATGACATCTCTCTCAACAACAAATCCCTTTTAACACTGGGATTATATCCTGACCAAGATGTTTCATAAACCAGGCTTTGAGATTTTGTTTGTGGAATTGTCCCCAGTTCATGTCACCACTGATCCTTGCCATGATTTCCATAGGGATCTCTCTCTGATCAAAGTGATCGACGTGGGCCGGAGGTTCCTCGTGAACAGGGTCCAGGATCACATCCAGAGCAGAATCGTCTACTACTTAATGAACATCCATGTCCAGCCCCGCACCATTTACCTCTGCCGACACGGCGAGAGCGAATTCAACCTCAAGGGGCAGATAGGGGGTGACTCGGGTCTCTCCAACAGGGGCAAGAAGGTAAGGGGAAAAATCCATCTCATGTTTGGGGAAGTGGGTGTAACTTGACTAGGCGCATGGGCTGTGTACTATGCTGTGCATGAGACGTACTGCCTGTGCTCTCTGGGTGGGTCTTGGTGTGGCATATGTGTCTTTTTCTGAAAGCAGCAGACCTTCCGGTATATACACAAGCACTTGTGAATCTGGCAGCAGATGGGGAAGACAGGATGCAGATCACTAACCCCTCTCTTGTTCTACCTCCTACAGTTTTCCATTTCACTGAAAAAATTTGTTGAGGAGCAGAACCTGAAGGACCTCAAAATCTGGACCAGCCAGATGAAAAGGACAATCCAAACAGCAGAAGCCCTCAAGTTGCCCTACGAGCAGTGGAAGGCACTCAATGAAATCGATGCGGTGAGCATCTTAATTGCCTTACTTGCAACTAATTCCCACTGTCCATGGGTTAAAGCATCAGCATTTTGCCTCTTCCCAAATGTGGTGATGGAGGCAAGGCTTTAGGAGTCACTTCCCCAGTCTAACGCATCATTGCTTGCTTTGGAGAGGCTGTTTATGTCCATGAGAGCCTTAGCTGCAAGAGCAGAGGAGGATGAGGACTGAAGTACCCAGGTAGCACTGGGATGGGGAAGCTGACTCAATGCCCAGCTCTGGATGGTGCTGATGTTGAGCTTTCACAAGCAGTGAAATTTCACATGCCTGGAATGGCAAGGAAGCAGAAAGATGGAATATTGTCTCCCAGTCTGGTTTTCAAGGGTGAACGCCGTTCTCAGGTTAAATGGAGCAAAAATGCTGGAGCCACATGCTTCCTGGGTTCTCCTTCTCTGCCCCTGATCTTGGCTCTGGATTACACAGAAGCTGCCAAACTGCTCAGTAACTTTGGCCTCAGACCTACCAGGTTAAAACTGCTGCAACCCAGTGCCACTGCAGAGCCAATTACTTAGATCGCCAAAGTGCTAGTTTGCTCTTCAGGCTGGAACAGTATTTGTTTTAAAGCTCCTTGGCACCTGCTGTAACAGGAACCTGCAGCTCTCTTGTATAGAGTTCAGTAAATAACTCCAGTGGCATCTTGTTTGTTCAGGGTGTATGCGAAGAGATGACTTATGAAGAAATCAAGGAACAGTATCCAGAAGAATTTGCCTTGCGGGATCAGGACAAATATTACTACCGCTACCCTTCTGGAGAGGTAGGTCTGTAGGAAACCCTCCCAGACTTGATGGAGACGGAAGAAAAGTCATTAGAATCCAGCTGTATAGCGAACCTGAACATCTTTCATAGGGAAGGAGTTTGCTTTACTTCCCTCTCTGGCCAAGTGGCTGGGAGAATGAGCTGGTCAGACATTTTTGGGGAGCAATATATCAATCGATGCAAGCGTTGAGTTCATTTGGCTTATTTATGGAGAAGGGACCAATAAGCATGAGCCAAATAAACTCCTGGGGAACACAAAATCTTTGTTGGTACTCAAGCTTACTTCACACGCATAGTTATTTCTCATGGATGACTGATGCTAAACCTGGGTTTCTAAAATTCTCACTAGACGCCACTCTTGGTTTTGCCTGAGCGGAAGAGTCCTTGGAAATCTGTCAGATGATTCAGGCCTCCAGAGCTTAAAATGTCTCATGAGAAAGCAAACTTCAGACATGTAGTGATTCATTATGCTTAACAAACCCTTCGTGTTTGCAGTGCCAGTGCAGAATGTTGTTAGTTGCCTAGTCACAAGAAGCAGCCCAGACTTTAAGAGGTCTGCGGGAGAGAAGCGTAGCTTGGTCTAAATTAGGATCCCTGCTGGCAAACCAAAATGAAGATTGTTTTTGAGTCCTGAGAGACCCTGGCTCTGCCCTCTGTGCTTATCTCCAGTATCTCTCTCTGTTCTGCAGTCCTACCAAGATCTAGTGCAGCGCCTGGAACCAGTCATCATGGAGCTGGAGAGGCAGGAGAACGTCCTAGTGATCTGTCACCAGGCGGTGATGCGGTGTCTCCTGGCTTACTTCCTAGACAAGAGCGCAGGTATGTTGCTTCTGGGAAAGGGGGCTGGGGTCCTTTGCAGCAGCTCTTATAAACCAACTGGAAGAAAATAGCATGTCTTGTGGCCCAAACCCTGCAGACACTCAGTGTTTTAAACAGTTTTATCACCTGAATCCCGGCTATGTCCTGGGATGAGCAGCTCAGCCCACCAGCTGCTGGCCTCTACTCCAGCCTGTGGGCTGCTGCAGTGTTATTCCTCCAAGTTTGCTCTGAGAGACTAATGGTCCCATTGTTGAGGAGAGATGCTTGGCCTCCCAGTCAGATCCTGCCAACATGGGATGTTGGGCTGGCTGCAGAGCGCAGCGCCAGGCAGGCGCAGGCTTTGTCTGTGCAGACATGGCTGAGGCAGCGTTCCAGTTTGCATGAAGGGAAGAGCTGCCCCGCCAGCCCCTGCAGCTGGGGCATAGCTCAGCCCCTTGGAAAATGGATTATGTTGCCCATCCCATTGATAACCCACCTGTTGTTTCTGCAGCTGAAATGCCCTACCTGAAATGTCCCCTCCACACCGTGCTGAAGCTGACCCCCGTGGCCTATGGTAAGTGACCCACACTTCCTTGACACATCAGCTTGAACATTTCAGCGAAGCATTTACTGGTAGTTGCATCCTGTTTAAAAATTAAGCTGGAAGCCCCAGTGGGGAAGCAGGACCTGCACCTTTGAGTGTGCACAGTGCCATCCTGATCCTGGCTGGGGTGGTTGGGCCCTAGTATCATACAAACCCTACCAGAACTTGTGTGGGCCACCTCTTCATTTGTTGTTTTCCTCCCCTATCCCACTGCACCATATACCTGGACATCTATGCTCAGCTTAAGCTTCTTGTCCATGAGCTCCCCCGGCACTGTGGATTGTGCCAGGTGGCACCATCCCACTCCTTGGGATAGGGAAGAG